TCATATTTTATTATTTTTTAAAAACTATTTTTACATTTAAATATTGTAAATTACATGATATGATAAAAATAATGGTATCTTTAGAAAGATCATTTAATGGCAAGAAAAACTGTATATAATATGTGTGGGTACAGTAAGTGAGTAAAAGGCAAATTACAGCTAAAAACAAGCACTGCAGAAATGTAGAAACAGCCCTTGTCCTTAACGGTAAGAAAATTGAAAAACGGTCTGGTCACTAAGGGGTTAAATAGATTTATGTATAGCTATACCAGGGTTACGCCATTCCTCCATCTATAATGACAGTGTATTTATGATTAATGTTTGCTGGGCGTTTCTTAGTGGTTTTAATAAGTGAAATCATGGGAATGGCTTATAATTACACCTCACAACATCCGATTGTGTTAATTAATGACAGTTTGTATCAAGATCAGAAACCAGTCAGTGTCATCTGCTGGAAAGCACTCCACGGAACATATATTATCTATCTGTCTATAGTTTGGCGTTGTGGCAGGCTTATGCAATGTATGATCATATACTGTAACTAAACCCCCATTATATTTTTTTGCCTAGATTAGGTGTTTTTAATAAAACTGAAAATTGTTCAGCATTAAAATGACTGTTTAGTAGATAAGCGAGTGCGCTGGATTTTCATTTTTACTGTACTTATTGGCCCCCAGCAGCACCCTAATTTAGCATGTGTAGGTGAGTGCAGCCAAACCCTTATTTTCTCATATATGTATATATTTAGGAGTCTAGCCAGCTCCATGGGTTTTGCACCCCTCCCTGTTACAGGTGCCTCATCTCAGGATCCTATTTAAGCATTGTACTGCAGAGACCTCGAGATGGAAGGATTTCCCCAAGTGAGAAGGTCATTTAGCAGACAGAGTAGGACCTGCCAAAGATGGGGTACATTTACGTTGTGGCAGGCTTATGCAATGTATGATCATATACTGTAACTAAACCCCCATTATATTTTTTTGCCTAGATCAGGTGTTTTTAATAAAACTGAAAATTGTTCAACACTAAAATGACTGTTTAGTAGATAAGCGAGTGCGCTGGATTTTCATTTTTATAGTTAAAAGAATAACTGCAAAAGTAGAGATTTATTTAAAATCAAATTTTATTTGACTTGTTTCATTCTTGACATGCAGTTTTAGGTGCTTGTACAAATCATTTAGGGGTAGCGTTGGATGAGGATATCCGCAACGGAGTCCAAGAATTTATCTAATGCGACATGGACTGGAGGAGTGAAAGCAGGTCCTACTTTAGTAGCCATGACAATCACCAACATTTTAGTGAAACGCTGCAAATAGAAGTAAACAAGCCAATAATATTTCTTTGAAGTGATACAGATTATTCATATATTCAAAACCAGACAATCAAATAATAGCAGGTCTGAAGGTGTAAAGCACAGGTACCCAAACCAGGTGCATCAACAGTTTATGATTTTGACATTTCCAATTCTTTTCCTATTGGACTATAAAACCTATATTGTGTGTGCCTTGTGGACTGGGTTAGGAAAAACAGATCTAGAGTTCATTTACTACCAACTGTATGTAGCATTAACACGCTGCAGAAATAAAATAAGTTAATATCAGCTATTCCTTTGGCATCCATGCTGTAAGCAACCACTTGCGTTCCCTCCTGCAAAAAACGAATGCTACATTCTTCTGGCAATCTTTGTCCTATTTATCCACAAATAGAGAAAGTATCATACATTAGATTAGGTTCACCGAATGTCATTAAATCTTGAATTATTAGAATTTCCATATGGAATTTAGATATGTGAACTAATCTTGTTGTCTTTATATTAGGTTTTATTTAACTTGAAAAAGTGACAAACATATTTATTATATATGCAATTTAGAATAAATACCCCCAATTTAAACACAGATACATATTAAATTAACACAGTATCTTGCTAATCAAGCGTTGTTTCAGTATATTAGTTTTCGATAAGAGAGAGGAAACACGACTGTTTAAAATATTTTTTTACGGATTTCACTTATGATTAAAGTCCTTCATCCATGGCAAAAGTAACTCAATCTTGGCATTCAAGCTGCTGTGACTGGCAGGCCATGCTGGCTGAGCTTAATGAGAAGATCAGTCCATAACAGATAGAGTGCCAAAGGCTGCAATCATTTTTAAAGGACCACTATAAGCACCCAGACCACTTCAGCTTAATGAAGTGGTCTGGGTGCCAGGTCCAGCTAGGATTAACCCTTTCTTCTATAAACATAGCAGTTTCAAAAAAAATAGGGTTAATCCAGCCTCTAGTGGCTGTCTCATTGACAGCCGCTAGAGGCGCTTCCGCGCTTCTCACTGTGATTTTCACAGTGAGAAGACGCCAGCGTCCATAGGAAAGCATTAAGAATGCTTTCCTATGGACTGGCTGAATGTGCATGCGGCTCTTGCCGAGGAGGAGAGGAGGAGAGTCCCCTGCCCGGCGCTGGAAAAAGAGGTAAATTTAACCTCTTCCTGGCACTATAGTGGTCCTTTAAGAAAAGTGCGCCAGAAAATCCATGAAACCTCTCCAACATAATTTCTACCATCATAAAACAGTACTTTGTTTTATTTAACCATTGTTAAATATAGATGAATCATTTTCAAAAATAACTCCAATAATTAAAGCATGCATTGTTAAAAACTTTCAAACATTTGTTGGAACAAACAAGTGTGTTTCTGACACTGTTATCTTTACTAGCCAGGGCTTCTCCTTATCTGAGATTTTCGTAGTATTGAAAGGAAAACATAACAAGAGTAATCTAATAAAATAAATACGTACCTTGAAGATCTCTGGATCCATATTCAGTATGTTGGTATGGTCATCACTGAGTTGGTGTAAGGTGCCCTTCATGTCATCCAAGTGGTGGGATGCGTTGTTAAGAGTTCCCAGTACCTCCTTGCCGTGGGCCTGTACCTTGGCATTTGAGGATGGGTCGGACAGGTCTCCGAAGGAATTGAAAAACTTCTGGGTGTGGGGATGGACCACAAGCAGCCTAGTGAAAAATAAGAAAACAAAGTTATATAAATACATTAAAACTTCCTGAGGGAATGATTTGACTTAGTGTTGTAGAATACATTTGTATCACAAGGGTGTTTAACAAAGACAGTGATGTATGTAATAAAAAAAAGATTCCACCACAAGTTGAAAGATCATTGAAAAGCTACACTATTGGTCTTTTTCTGGGAATCCTTAACTTCGATAGGTTTTAGATGGTACAGATTTATAAATGTCCAGACAATTTTTTTTTTTTTAAATGAACAGGTTATATTACAATCTGCCATTACAGATAAACATAAAGGAACCCCAGACATTAAATGTAAACAACATAAGCGTAACTTTAAAAGCCCACGCAGTGTAGGTATCATTTGCAATCAGTTCAACCTGCACCACATTTATATTTTCATATAAATGTTTCTTCTTTAAAACCTTCAGTGCAAAAGGTTAGCATATCATATGATATCATGGCAATTCCTCGCATGGCATTTGTCATAAGGTGGTCGAAATAAAAAATGTCATGCAATCATTTTTTCTTACCTTACCAAAGCGTCTCCACCATCACGTTCCAGATCAACTTTGCTAAACACAGAGGCGATGGCGGCTCTCTCTTCGGCTGCCCAGTGAACCATGGCGGCTGTTAGAGGGTTGAGTAGCTCCAACTTCAGGTGAGAAGTACAAGCTCTGA